AATACTGATGGTGGAACAACCCAAGCTGGAAATTATTTTAGAAGAACGAGTGGTCGAACCCTCGGTTCCCGAGCTGAAGGGGCAAGTGAGTTTTGATTTTGGTTCTTGGGACGGTCCCTTGAAAACCAGCCTAGTAACCATGTGGGAACTCATGAAGCCTTCTTGGTGTCCCCATCCTAACGCCGGTTTAATCTGGGACATGACGGCGGATATCACGTTAGACATGGATGATGACGCGAGTCTGCATGATCTGGCCATGATACACCATCTGCTGGCCATGAGGATGACGAAGCGGAAGAGCAACCCATCCACGAAGCCATCCGAGGAAAGTCCATCGAGCAGTTGGTTGAGGCAAGGCACCTGTTTAGCTCAACATAGTGGGATGGAAGGACATGTTTGTAACTTGGGACACTGCCTGATTACGCTGAGCGAGCAGCATCGATAACTGGCACGACTGTACGGAAGATTGAGCATGTCGGATAAGAGTGGCAAGGAGTTGGTCGCGGACTGTCATGGGGTGACGGATGTAAACTTGACCACTGCTTTGGGATTTTGTAGCATGACGAGCTCGATAGAATCGCTGGAGCGCCTGGAGCGTGCCCATGAGCTAGTGACGTCCCTCAGCGTGGAAGTATTCCCTGGAGCATTACAGACAGAGCAGAAGATTGGAGGCTGGCGAGAAGCTCTTGAAAATGAAATGAATCTGAAGGATAGTGAGGCCTATCATAGACCTACTGAATCAAAATATCTGGTGGGTTCGAGCTCCACACCATATTGCAATAGTAGGTATCCTACACACATGGTGGTGATGGATGCGAGGACGCAGCAGGTGTTGATTAGCCAACTTTTCTCTGTGCCACAGTGCGTGAGGTTGGCCAGAATGTCGGAGAGGTCATATGATTTGTTGGCAAAGATCTTTTGGGCGGTTGCAAGACGTAGTGGGTGAAGAGTTCATGAGGTTGAACGAAGGTAATGTGAGCGAGTTCCAGAAGCAGAAAGCGAGTGGAGCGTTACCCACTGAATTCCCCACCATATAAGAAAAGGACGAGGTGCATAGAATAATGATGGAAGTGGAACCGTTGCTGGGAGCCTCAGGGTATCGGACCCGAAGGAACATACTAATGACCCATGGGGAGTATCCTTGCCACTACTTAGCGCAGACGTTGTGGTACCCCAAACGCGGGAATCTGATGCTAGTATGGGACGTGGAGGAGTTGTACTCTACGGGGTTGCCCGATCAGAATCAACAGGTGTCAATCGTGGTGGTTAGTGCCATGCTGGCAGTGAGGTGGTTGGAAGCTAACGCGGACACAAGTGAACAGGAGACGGCCATGCCGACTCCTGAGCAGCTGAGCAACGTAAAGATGAGCCGCAAGTTGGATCTTTTCAGAACCACCTGCAAGGTTCTGAGAATACCCAAAGCCATTGAAAGAATATGGTCAAGGCAAATTTTGATGCCTTGGTTCCGTGCTGTGATGACGTCATGGATGTATGAACGCGCGAAGCGTCACATGTCGAGGAACACGGAAGCCTACAATCTTTCCAGCTAGATATAGGACCGGGAGCCTATAAGAGAACATTCCTGACGCACAGAAACGCGGTCACCACGGCGGTGAAGCGAGTAGCTGGAGCGCCTTGTGTAACTGAAGATGAGAAGAGAGAGGTCTTAAGAGCTGACCTAGAACGAAATGTGAGCCTGTGTCTTCACAACAGCTTTTGGAGGAACCGGGAGCAAAAGGTGGATGTGGACCTGCTACCTTGTTGCAAAACGAGGCTGTTGGAACAGGAGAGTTGGGGCACGGCCCGCAACTCCATGGACATGTTAGAAAAAGTCCTAGAAGACAGTGAAGCTGAAGATCAGGATGGAGAAGCAATGGAATGAAGATGATGGAACAAAGAGGACAACTGAAGACTTGAACAAGAAAGGAAGAGAAGGAGAGAAAACTTGATTGTCTTTGTGTGCTAAAATTTAAACTAATCAACCAAGTTTGATTATTGAGTTGTTAAAATTTTTGTTTTGATCTAGTTTGGTCAGACCAAACTTTGAAAATTGTTACAATTGTTAAAATTAATGAAAGAAAATTTTAGTTGTGCTACTTATGTATATATATAGAACATAGGTGAGTATATTTACCTATTTAAACACGACTGAAGTTTTTAACCTGTGTAAGACACAATTTCACTGTGTGGCGACATGGTAAGTTTGGGTAAGCTCGCTCGAAAAGGGTGAGTAACTCAATAACTTTCCTAGCCACAGAGTTTCTTAGTTTTACTATCAAATAGGACCGCATAAATAACTGACTTTACTTGGTGAGTGACGTTTAGTTAATTTTAACGGGTGCGTGGCCGTGCCACGTCCCAACTTTTTAATCAGCAAGAGCGAAAAGAAGTTTTATGGCAAGATGACGTAAGTAGTCAGAACAGAGATTTATCTAGGACACTCCTCATGGTGCATATTTTGTGAAAATGTTGAAAGGCAGTGAGATGTAGTACGATGCCATTTGTGACACGTAGTGAGTTGTGGTGGAGTAGATAAGTTTCAATTTCTTATGCGATTTGTAAGATTAGTTACAGAGAACTGGAGTACTACTTGACAATAACCCGGTGTTATGTGATCAATAGGGACATTGATGGGGATTTGTCCGGGGAGTATGTGCCATTCTGCCAGATTGGCACAGCGCAACCTTCCGGAGGGACAGATATTAGTAACGCCTAAGATGGTTTTAGTATGGCCTAAAATTAGTAACTTTTTACTTAGCCCTAAACAGACCAGAAAATCAACTGGCAAGGTCGAGACGGTGAAAAACGAGTAGGATTAAGGTAACTGACGCCTGCCAGTCGTTAATAGGTACTTTTTCTACGCTCCGTCGCTGTGTAGTATTTGGGCGAATGTTACACTGTTGAAGCAGATCACGGTGTCAAATGCATCTGGGTCTGGTACCTCGAAGGCGAAGAACGCGAGGTGAGCAGGTGGCTCAGTGGGGAATTCTAGAGTCTTTAGTCTTGAGAGGGAAAGAAAGGGGCTTGGTAGTGAACTTGGATGAAATCTAGGTTCACGAAAAAGAGATTTTAACAAATGAGATATTGTTATTAATATATTATATCTATTATATAAATCAAAATGCTGCATGACAATTTCCTGATTGAATAGGACAAAAGAAATTTTAAAGACTAGCTTAAAAAGCGAAAATTCACAGGTGCAGGTGTGTGCAGATTTTGATTGCTGTTTAGCGATAGTGAGAAAATTTTACATGGTTGTGAATTTTGGGGTGTAGATAATTTTAAGTCTGCTGCAAACTTCTGTAAATGACCACTGGCACTGTATCTTGAGTAACACTCGGGTTTCTGGGAATTCACTCACAGACGGCAGCACGCGTTGAGGACATCGATCTTGAGTCCGGGGAGTATGTGCCAGTCGGTCATATCTGGAAGTTTGACCTTGAGGAGCACGAAAATACGTGGTTTTGGAATGAAGTTTTATTTTTAAAAAATTCGAATGGAGCCTGTCATGCTCAGTTTTCTCGCGACAACTGAAAACATCAAATCTAAACAGAACAACCGAATTACAATTGCGGGAAAGTTACCAAATAAATACAGTGGGAAATTGCTATTCGCAATTTCCATCGTAGAAAACTAGAGTAGAACTGCCCTATCTGATATAGGAGACCAAACAAATACAAGAGCAGAGCAAGAATCAACTGTACCAGTGTGAACCTTCAACGGAAAGGCAGACAAGTGAAGTCTCCCAATGGTCCAGATCCAAAACCACTTTCTTGAATTAAAACTTATTTCCCTTGATTGGAACTCATCGTTAGAAAACTTCTTGAGTTATATTCGATTATATTTATGCTAGAGTCATTAATTAGTTTAATTACTCTGTTTCTCAAGCGTGCTGCTATGTAATTACCAAATTTAGTTTTCTCGAGTGCATTTTATAATAAGTATGTTGAGGTGAGGCGAGTTTTAGGTTGATCCATCTGGAATGGATCAAAGGTCCACTGTCCAATAAAAAGTAACTTAACGGATTGTTCCGACCCTGTTTTTAACGGCGTTCGTGTATTTTGGGTATTTTGAGACCTAAGTATGGGGACGTTCTTATTTTCTAGAGTGGGGGTATTTTGGTAATGGCCTTTAAGCTGTAACGGGTTCTAGTCTCATGTCGCAAGCGAACCGAATTGGCTCCGACCGTTTTGAGGTGGAAAAACACAAGAGATAGTGTCCCGGACTCTTGAGCCAATGGTTATAGTGCCTATTCTTCTTAAGCCTCGTATGTGACCGAAGTAGGTGACTGTTACACAGTGAGGCCGCACCTAGAGTACGCAAACCACCTTACGAAAGATAAAATCCAAATCGAAAATGTGCAACGACGCGCAACGAGTAGCCCTAGTCATATGAAAATTTAGATAATCAAACAGACTAAATATTCTGAGCATCCCAACTCTTGAATACAGACGAAAGCGAGGAAGAATGATTGAAGCTTACAAAATGTTAATTGGAAATCAAGATGTATAGAGAAGTAAAAATTTCGGACAGACCGAATTAATTTAAAAAAGCAACTTCCTAGACATCAATGAAAATTAAAACTGAAATAAACATAACGTCGAAAGTTCAAAAAGCAGAGTTACGGGATCTACTTAACAGTCCCCTTTCAAGAAAGGGGAAGAGATCGTTAATAAGATCACTTGTAGCGAACTTTCGACCAATCAGAATGACGCAAAATTCGAATTTACATAAAATGCTCTAGTGCAAATTTACTGTTTTTATTTACAGGGATGGAGATTCTTCAGTAGATACAATAAGGGGAGGGGTTAAGTAGTTCCGAGTTTCGCTCAAAACCTATAACCACGGCGGGCAATTGCATCCGAAGCGTCGAAATGTTTTATAGTAAAAGCTGGATGTTCATTGCAGTATTTAAAAATTAGGCTATCATAATCATCGGATAATCGACTATCTCGCATTTTGAATTTGGCCTGACAAAAAATTCAAGGTTGTTCAGGTTGTGCATGCAAAAAAGGGTTGTGCATGCGAAAAAGCGTCGAAAAGCACTGATTGCCCATTTTAATTAATACTGTCTGTCCGAACTTTTTGCTACTAATTATAACAGCAACAGAAGGACTTTTCTCAATTAATGACTAGGGCACGCGGGGAAACCCGTACAAAATAATCACCAGAAAGACTAGGACCACTTCAAGAAACAACTTTTTCACCATAGCCACTATTAATGACTGGAATTCACAAACTATTATATCAAGCAACAGTGTTAACACATTTGATGAAAAATTGGATATTTTTTGGGCATCTGAAATGTAACACAGCGTCTATTGACTGAGGTTATGGAAGTCCAAGAAAGAACTGATCGTCAGAGGCCGAAATAAAGCCTACAGCTCAGAAAGTACCTGTGAACTGCTAATGTGTCTTTATTGGCTTGTGTCACTTAGCAATTATGTAGACTCACAATTGGCGTGCTTCACTTGAGAAAATTTGCAGGTTCAAAGTTTTACTCATTCAATTTTTTTATGATTATCTATGATTTTTAATTAATATGAATCTTTTTTTTGAAAAGTTCTTTTGTCAAGTTTCTGTTTGTAGATAGCGGCATGAAAATCAAAGAGGAGCCAGGTTCGCCTATCGAAGATCGGAAACACCGTAAACATCGGTATCAGCATGAGAAAATTAAAGATGATCCAGATATACCTCAGAAGAAACGAAAGCATAGCAGAACAAGAGAAAATTCTAACGATTCAGAGAAGCGAACCCAAACACATGAAAAGTATATCCGTAAGCGTCACAGGTATTCAAGATCTCACTCCAATTCACCCAGTCGGAAAAGTTCACATAGGAAAGTGAAACGCGAAAGATCGTTATCGGATGGTGAGATTGCTGAACCCGTTGCCAGTCGGTGGGGAACTGCATCAGTCGACGAGCCTATATATCGTAACGATACTGAGTTTTCACATGATCGACAAAATAATAACAATAAACCAGAGAAACCGAAAGAAAAGCCTAATTTGGGTCTATCTGGAGCATTGGCAAAGGAGACTAATATGTTTAGAGGTGTTTTAATTAATTACAGTGAGCCTCCTGAAGCGAAGCCTCCAAAGAAAAGATGGAGATTTTACCCTTTTAAAGTGAGCTATATAATGTTGCGGAGTCATGAGGCTTAAGTTACAAAAGGATTAACCGGAATGAAAGCTAGATGTTTGTAAAAGATGTCTAACCAGTACTTATTAATAAGCTAACGTTAGCAAGTCGATGAAAAACTTTATTATGTCATAGCAAAATGCGAAAAGTATTCAGCAAATAAGCAGCGCATTTAGATAAGCGTAAAGCGATTTTAAAAGGCGATGCCAATACTAGATTTTCGCGTGACCGGTTAGTTTTTTGCTCCTTGCGTAACTAAACAATTTGCCGGTTTAATGTTGCGGAGAATAATGATAGTCGGTTACTGTGCAAGTAGCAGAGAATGTCTTTAAAAAATACAAAAATGTTTTTCTAATTAGTCGTTTTTTCTGCATGTAGTAATAAAAAGATCTGAACGAAAAAATAGATTTTAGGCTTATTTGAGAGTCATAGTAATATAGGTCAATTGGAAAACAGTTTTTGCAGAAAAATGACTAGAAAAACGAAAAAAAAAAATTCTGAATATTTTGTTTGGAATTTTCAAATTTTTGATTCCCCAAAATTGACCTAAAAAAACTCCCAAAAACTACCTTTAATTGAGTAAAATTAAGTTTTCACGGCTTCTTAAATTAAACATTAATAAGCTATTGTAAGCCTGCACGGCTCATTTACTGGAAATAAGACCTAACTAATAGGCTCGAAACTAGACCAAAACGCAAAAATTTTAACACCGTGAAAAAAAATTTTGAAATTTTGAAATGTGCAAATCACGACTGAAAGGGTTTTAATATGATTTATCACTCAAACCTGTCCGATGATTATTTGTGGTGGCTGATTTTGCGTGGAAAACAAAAAGAAAAAACTAAAACCTACTCGAATACCAAGTTCCCCATTTTCAATGGTCGGAACAGTAAATGCTAAAATTTGTTTCATTTTTACCCGGTATATTTTCGCTTGTATGTGAAATTCAGAATGAGTAATTCAGAATTAGTCATACTTTCTGGAAAGTTAATTGGTTTTCTTTACAGGGAACAGAAGAGTTTAAACCCCTCTACCTGCACAGACAAAGTGCCTACCTGATTGGCCGAGACCGACACATTTGCGACTTGCCTCTGCTTCATCCATCAATATCGAAACAACATGCAGTACTCCAGTACAGATCAGTGCCCTACACGAAACCAGACGGATCCCAGAGTAGAGCTATCAGACCATATATCATAGATCTAAATTCGCCAAATGGCACGTTTTTGAATGGAGTTCAAATTGAACCTCAAAGGTGAGTTTTTTTATTAAGCGTAGATGAACGTAGTTCAGACTCTTATATAGGCCGCGATGAAAAAAAATCATCGCGATCTATTTGGTTTTTTTTCAGGAAAAGTCTTAAAAATTGTTCAAGCTCAAGTTTACTTTTTCGCGGTTTGACTTCTAGTTAGGAAAAATAAAATTTTGACATATTGATTAGTTTTTCAAGCTGGGTTATTGTTATCAAAAAAGTGTTAATCATAAATTGTTTCAGAAATTCAAAGAGTTTTAAGGTCATCTATGTTTTCCCTGATTTTTCAAATATTAAATCCGTATTTTTTTCTGTTTACTTGCGTTCATTGACTTTTTTCCATTGTCTGATGTTTATATTTGCTTTTTATATGCGAAGTGCAATTTCGCGTTTTTTTTCAATTAAATTAAAATCTTTCTGAAACATTTCATGAAGATTAAAATAATTTATCCACAAGAGAAAGGAGCGACATACGAGCTACTCAGCTGTTAACTGAGAACCGCTGTTGTACCCCTGGTTCCGATATACATGCATTTTTTGGCTATTTTTCTAGTACTGGGTAGCGTTGCCCCACCCTCAAGCGCGGAGCATGGGGAACATCCGACCTTTCGAATGAAAGGGGGAGACGTAACCACTTCACAACCGCTCGCCAAGCTGGCTAAGCTAGTGTTAATTTACAATGCTATTTCTTTACTCCGACGCACGAAAACTATTTTACTTTCTGCAAAAGAACAGGGCTATGATGTGTTTATTGTTAAGACTCAATGACCGCAGTGAAGACTCTTATATAGGTCGTGATGAATATTTTGGTTTTTGGGAAATAAATTTTTTAAATATTTGCTAACGCTCAAATTTGATTTATCGCGGTTATGCTGTTTTCATTAGGAATCGATGCATGTAGTTCAGACTCCTAGAAAAGTCGTGATGATTGTTTTTTCGTTTTTTTTCCAGGAAAAGTCAAAATGGTTTTCATTTATATAAGTCTTGATGATTTTATTTGTTTTTCTTCACGAAAATCTTAAAATTGTTCAGGCTCAAATTAAATTTATTGTGGTTTGACTTGATTTCTGTGATGTTCATTTTATTTATTTTGGTAAAAGGCAAGCAAGCGCAACTATCGAACAGCAAAAGTGTAAAGGCTATGAAAAACGTGATCAAATTCTATCTTCGAAAGTGGAGTTTAATTTTCAGGTTTCCCAGCGAAGTAAAAATGTTACTTATTGAGCCAATTTTCTCAAGTTGGCTTAATTAAAACAAAAAAGCACTTGTCATAAATTGTTCTAGAAACTCACAGAGCTTTAAGGGCCTTTGTTTTTTTGTTTGAACTTCGAAAGTTGAGATAATTTCAAAAACAAGTCAGTATTTTTTTTCTGTTTACTTGCGTTCAGTCACTTTTAAAATTGTCTGTAGACAATTCTTTTGGTAGCGTTTTCAATAAACAACCAAAAATGAAATAGCTTGTTTGCTATGTGATTTGGTGGATAGTTAAGCGACAATAGCAAAGAGTCTAGATGAAATTATTCAACCATTATCGAAATAGGTCATCGTTTGTGAGCCTGTATTTTTTATGCACTAGTTCATTTTTTATCGAGCATTAATTGTTTCGATTTGAAATATTGATAGATGTGGTATCTAATCAAATTGATGAATTCGTTTCTAAAAGTACTGCTCTGAAGTTTTGTAGGTACCTATCTAAATGTACTGAAGGGGGAACGTTACAATTTTTTTTATCTTCCGACTGCTGTGTTGTTTTAGGTACTTCGAGCTGAAAGAAAAAGACGTTGTCAAGTTTGCTTTTAGCAGCAGGGATTACGTTCTACTCCACGAAAAGTCCAAAGACGACGAAGATGACGAATAATTAGACATTTTTGTACCAATATAGACAAGAGAAAATTGCAAACTGGACTTTAAACAATGTCTTGTAGCTGAATTAGTTGAAAACTGAATACATTTTTTGAATTTTTTTTTTGAAAATAGACGGATGGGTTCGTGTGAATATAGTGGGTAAGACTAAAAGCTTAGCAGTGTGGAAATGAAAGAAAAAAACGTTCCAATATTCTTGTGCGGTGAAGAATAAGTGGCTCCAAGATCCGCTCAAAGCTTTTCCTTTGAGTTGTGAATTACCCGTGCGATAGGCATTGCAATCGGGTACTAGACTTTTCCCCCAGATATAACTTTGTTCAGAGAATAGTCAAAGTTAAAAATGGCAAATGTAAGCGCAGTTCATAATGTTCATCAGATTTCTTACTGTTCCCGGGTTAGCGAGTACGCCTGGGACGGCAAAGGTCCTGGCTGGGTTCGAATCTGATAGGACCTGTTTGTTTTTTAAACAGGAAATGGTCCGTTTCAAAAAAGATTGCCGGCTGATTATTTGTCTGCTTATGTTTTGTTGGCTTAGTTGCCACATCTTAGAAATTTTCGCTATTCGCAATTAACATTGTAGTTGCTTTAAGTGTTCTGATTTATTTCTGCTGTTAGAAATTTCACTAACCATGACTTTATATCTATTTTTTTTGCTTAAAAACTTTATTATGCTCGAATGATTTCGACTTATATTTTATCGACTGACTGATCTGGCTTGAGTGGTTTTGAGGGAAAAAGATTTTTATTGCTTGCCTCTCTGGATTGCACAAAATGCTAAAATTCTTAATAGAAATTATAGTTCAAACTTTTGATGACAAGCTTTTTTCAGCTCTTTTTTTTCGGTTTGATAGGTTTCGGCTTATAATACATTGGCTTAATGGGCTCATATTGCGTCTTTTGACGAGCGGAAAAAGTCCCCGTGGCGTGTTTGTGTTTCGAGGGCGAGGGGGACTTAATAAGTTGAATTAGTCTTAACTTTTTTGATTATCTTTTCGGTTTTTTTTATATTTTGGGTTTAGAAGTTTTTGCCTGTAAAATATCGGCTTGGTGGCTTCAATTTGTTTCATATGACGGTTAAATAGTTTTTTAAAGGAGGAATGGGCATATTAGTTTTGAGGTGGAAAAGGACTTTTGATAATTCTGAAAACTTGTTGAATTTTTTTTTCGGTAAAAGGGTTTCTGCTGAGATTTTTCCGGCTCTGTAACCGCTTGCTTAGCTTATTTTGATGTTAATTTCCTATTCGTTTGTCTGGGCCTCTTTGTTTTAAAACTAGCCTTAATCATTCTGATCGATCTGGACCGGTTTTCTTCAATCGTATCGCTTCACCTTACCTTCGCCTCTGTTTAAGATTACCACTGCAATGAAAACATAAGTGTTTTTGTAAGTTAATTAATTACACTTGTGCGAGCAAGTATTTTGTAATTGGGAACAAGTTTTTTTCCCGTGAACAATTTTTTTTTACTTGTATTTGAAATTGATGTTGCTTCATTATAACACAAGCGATCAGCGTAGTGCGATATTACGAAGACCATTTTTTGTAACCCGGTTAGTGCGTGGGCTCATAACCTCTAGGTAGCAGATTGAATCCTAGAATAGCTGAAATTTAATAATTTCGAGGCTTATTTCTTATTCTTCGTATTGCACTTCATAGAGCTGCTTTTTGTCGTGTTTTCCCTAGTATTTGCGAAGCGAAGCTTAGGTTGTATGTCGAACCTTAGCAACTTTTAGTTATAGGTTGCGTTTCTCGTCTGTTTCTTTTTCTGAGGTTGAATTCATATTTCCTAAAAAAAATGTGTTGACTTTTTTGAAGTTTCTTGAATGACAACATTTTTGATACCATTTTTTGGTTTCAGTATAATTGATGTCTAACGACGTTTTGTTGGCTTAGTAAACATCTGCAAATTACTGAAAGCTTGTTTAATGCTAGTGGTTATATTTTTTGTCTGTTTTTCTGCGATTGATTGTTTCGTATTTCCAACAGAGTTGGTGGCTTTTTCAAGCTTTTTTTCGATTTATTTTTTTCCATCTCACAGACTATTTGGTAGCTTCTAAAATTGCGCTTTCATTCTGCCGCAAGTGATTCGAAGCTCCGCCTCGCGTCTTTGTTAAGTCTTGCGTTTCTAACAATATTACTTTTGTGAAACCCAAGTTTTTCATTGGATATTCTGTTTGGATATCCTTAAGTCAATTGGATATTCTTCAGTTCTACATAAAAAACTACGCATCCACGCTCAAAAAAATCCTTGTGTTCAATAATGAAGAGTTTAAATATAGATGAGCGTAGTAACGCAGGGACCAAACGGTTTTGCTAGCAGCAGGTTTCGGTTTATAGAGCAATAGATGGAGCAGATTTTCAATCATACGAGAAAATTTTTTCTATCTTTTCTCAAAGATTTGATATATTATGATTAATGCTAAAGTTTAGTGATTGTTGCATATGCTTTTTTCAAATAAGTTTTAAAACTGAGATCTCCTCCCCCCTCCCGTTTGCAAAAGGGGAGAGATTAGTTACTAGGTATGCTTAAAAACTATTGCAAATATGCTTAAACATTGAAATAGTTCATTGTAGGGCGCCAATTCTTTACTAGATTTCAAAAAAGCAAAAGTTCAAGAGATCCGAAAAAAGACTACACCCAAGTTTTGAATTTCACTTAATCAATTTTGGTTTTCTTCAAAGAAATTCACTAGATTATTATGATCCTTGCGATAAGCAAGGGTATTGCAACCGGGTACTAGACTTTTTTTCCAGTAAACAACTTTGTCCACTGCAGACATCTGTAAGTCTGGACTCATCTCTACCTTGTTTCATGATATATTCAGTTCTCTTAGCGTTCTCGGTCAGCTTCGTCTGGAGGTAACGACTATGCCTGGGACAAGAAAGGTCCGTGGTTCGAATCTGGAAAGGAACTGGAAATATATTTTAATTGGTTATGCATATTTTCCTCAGCGTGGTTTTTTCTAATCTTTAATTTACAACTACAATTTGTATGTTACTCACCTTGACTTCGTATTTCCTTCTTTGTTTTTTTGTTTCGCTAAAACAAATTCCTCGGCCGAAATTATTTCGGCCTTATTTTTATCGCTCAATGACCTAATTTTGGGCCGTTTCAAGTAAACACAATTTGGCACTCCCCTCCGGATTTTTTTCAATTTGATTGTACAATTTGGTTGTATAAAAAGCGATTTTTTTCTTTAAAAAAATATGAAAATTCTACTTTTAAAGATTTTTGAAAAGTTTTCCCTTTTATTATCCATTTTTTTTGTATTGTGATTTTAGCCTGAAAATTATGAAATGTTTTTTTTTAATTAATGAATAATTGATGTTTCTTATCAGTGCATTTTGTGCTCGTGTCAATTTTTGATTTTGAACCAATTTTGCGATTCCTCTTCATGGATCAGCTAGAATGTAATCGGATTACTAGACAAACTTTGAAAGTACTATTACTATGTTTCTTTTTTCCCAAAGGTTTTGGCTGCTTTCTAAGATTATAAACTGGATGATTTTTTTCGCGATTTGGATAATTTACTGCTAAGTTTTGATAATCAAAGTAGCACTGGGCTATAAGCGCGAATAAAAATTTAAAAATGTTCAAACGGTCAAATTAAAAAAAAAGAATTATTGGTGCAAAAAGTCGGTTTTATTGTGTTTCTTAAGGTTTATTTGCGCTTTTTGAGCAGTTAAAATTTCTGCGAAACTCTATTCTAGTTAATTATTGTTTTTCATTCGGCATTTACTTCTCTAGCCGTACTGGTTCAGCCAATGAGGAAATTATTAAATATTTTCAAGATTGAAAATTGCTCTATCAAATGTTTTTGTATTTTCAGATTTTCTCGTTTTTCAATTAACGGCAAATGAAAAAGTTTCGATTAACGAATCAAAATTTTTTTTGAAATTTTCAATTTGTCTTTCAGTTCCCAACTTAAACATACGAAAACAATGAACATAGACAGCAATCGATTTTGTCTTCAATTGCCATTTTTTTGAAATTCTTATTTCGTCTAGTTGCAGAATCCACTATTTCGGCTTTTCGTAAATGAGTCCTTTCTTTGGCACTAGGTTTTTAAATGGGAATTTATGAGTCTTTAGTAATTGTGAAAAGGGCGGGATCGTGCCCACTTTTTATATGTTCTGGATTTGCGTTGCAATTTTCAAAACAGTCATTTCTTACACCTGAAAATTGACGTATACTATTGTATCACAAATGAGACGAGACTACGCATCGCCTCTGTTTAATTTAAATCATCTGATAGCAAAACTTCTGGAATAAAACATTATCATTCTCTTACTAAGTTTGTATTGGTGCTATTTAAATATCTCTGTTTTGGTCAAACCTGGATTTTGAATTCTTTTTGAGCTTTGGATTAACCGAATCGTTACAACTGATATCATTTGTGCTGCTAACGTGATCAATTTCTTCAAATTGAAATTTTTCTACTGGCTTTTAATACTAATAAACACCAATAAAGGCTATATAGTGGACTCTCAATATGTTGAATTTTTTTTTTCAAGTTTCTATGGTATGACAACAACTTTGTTTGCCATTTTTTGATTTTAGATTTATTGATAACTATCTACGCGTTGTTGTCTAAGTGAGCACTCGGAATAACTCAAAGCTTGTTTAATGCCAGTGGTTGTACTTTTTGGCTGTTTTTCTGCGATTGAATAATTCCTAATTCCAAAAATAGTTTTTCTTTTCAAGTTTTGTTTTCCTTTATTTTTTTGATCTCATTGCATATTTGATAGCTTGCAATGCTACGCTTTCGTTGTATCGCTTGAGATGCGAAGCTCCGCCTTGCTTCTTTGTAGATTTTTACATTTCGAACAGTTCTACAATTTGAAGACTCAAATTTTTTTCATTCTATTGGTTATTGGATACTTTTAAGTTCTACATTAACAATTACGTTCATCCACTCTTAAAACTCGTCCTGTGGGCAGTAACGGAAAGTTTTAAGTATAGATGAACACAACAAAGCAGGGCCTAAACGGTTTTTCTGGGAGCAGGCTTTGGCTTATAGAGCAAAATATTTTATCCAGCAGTAGAATGAGCAGATTTTCAATCAAACGAGAGAGTTTTTCAATTTTTCCGCAAATACTTGAAA